GTTTTTCTCGACCCCGTTAATATTTATGCTTTTATCTGTTCACTACTGTGATGACTATGCAGCGCAGTAAATATTCAGAGTATGACTGCATGATCTCTAATTATATCAAATATGAGGAATTTTTGATAGCAACATCAAAATTGCGTTTAGCGATAAGGATCAGAGAGCTATTCGTGAATTTTTTATAACTTAGATTGTATTTAAAAAGCCATTTTTATACGTTTTCCAAGCATCCTATATCAATCCTGTTCAAATGATTATTATAATTTTAAAATTATTTGAATCAAAGGAAAGGAATATTTCGAATAACTGAAGGATCATTTTTTTTTTAAAAAAGAAGATAAGGATTTATTTGAGAAAGCAAATTTGAGAGAACTATGACAATTAGTTTGTTTAGACCGTTCGCTGTATAATTTCTCTTTCAGCATTGCCTTCATATCCGCCACCAATTATCGAACATGGACATTCCAATCAAACATTAATGGTTGGTGCTTCAGCAATATTACCTTGTGCAGCAAGCGGACGCAGTATACCTCAAATTAGTTGGTTAAAAAATGGCGAACAAATCGATCTAGAAGATGCGAATTTTCAAACACGTTTCAAGCAACTCTCTTCCGGATCATTGCAGATCGATGAGTTGAAGTAAGAAATTTCTTAATTAAACCGATTACCGCAGTGTAACATTGCCATTAACTTGTATATAGATTGCTTTTCTTTTACATTTATTCGGAGTAATTACGCTACAGCAGTGCAGTTGTTTATAACAATAATTAATTTAAAGCACGATTTGTGTAATTCTGTATGCTCATTTGTTCTTTTATTTCACGGTGAAAGCATTTTTATAAGTAAGCTAGTAAAAAATTTTTCGAGTTAGGAGCAAAGTTTGAGGCACAAATTTGCAGGAAGAGTGATACCGGTGTTTATACATGCCGAGCACGTAATCAGGATGGTGAATCCACATGGACGGCATCTCTAGTTGTTGAAGGTTGTGATCTTTTCAAGGTTTTTTTGTTAAAATTTTACATGCAACTGAAGTTGAAAAAAATCTCATATTTAGAAGAAAAATAGTAAAGACAACTGTCATCTAAATCATTTCCTAAATGCATCCAATTTTTTGCTTTATATCATATCGGACTTAGTTGTATATGATTTATAGAACACACCAATCCATCTGTTACATTTACTCGTATGCCAAATTTATCTGCTTTTCCGTCTGCACCGGGTAAACCATCGCTGCAAAATGTTACTGAAGATGGCGTTGATCTGGAATGGGCTGTTCCGGAAAGAAGTGGCGTTGCTTTGGTTAATGGCTATCTTTTGCAGTATTTTAGTCCAGAAATGGGCCAAGTGCGTTTTCCATTTTTTAAAACTCAAAGAATAGTTATGATGGTTTTACATTGATTGATAAAGTTTAATTTCATTTTCACGGTTGACATCGTTCGTGGTCAAAATCTGAAACTTTTTTTAGACCTGGTTTAATGTGCCTGACTACATTTCGGGTCCGAGATATCACCTAAGGAACTTGAAATCTTCACATTCGTATGTTTTCATCGTTCGTGCAGAAAATTCTGAAGGTATTGGTCCACCATCACCAATGAGCGATGCTATCCAAACTAAGCCACAGAAAGAGCAAAGTAAGTATTTGTTAGGAAAAGGCATGACGATTTTTTTTCCTCTAAAAGGCATTAATTTTAGTGGTAATAACTGGATTGCAGAAACTGTCATCCGAAAATTTTGTGATTTTATGTATTGAGTCGAAGTAGTTTGAGTTTCGAGAATATAAGCAAACGAGCGATTTACAATTTTTGGGAAAAATGACAGACAGTAAATATTTTAAAGGAGTTGATAGTATGTTTGACAAAAAGGAAGGGTAGAAAAAATCTGTGAAGCACTTGTATACATTATGATTCACTGAAGTGTGATCAGACATAACAAGAATTTTAGAACAAAGTGAAATGACAAATGTGGATACGGATTTAGATACTGCTCGGGAACGAATTGCCTCAGAACAGCTAATCAAATTAGATGAAGCGATAACTGTCAATGCTACAGCCGTGAAATTGAGTTGGAAGGTAAAATTCAACTATACCGTCAATAACCTAGTCAGTGAGTAGATTAAGATAAAAATTCCCCAAAGTGGGTGTGAATGAAGTATTATCACAGGAGACCTTCCATGGATGTATCCAGGGAATGTTATTACTATCTTTCTTTATCAGTATTAGACAATTTTTTTCGAAGCCAAATTGTTTATTATTCCCACGTAAAAAAATGGAAATATGTTTTTTTCATATTATATCAAATTGCAGCGTCGAAGAAATGAACCATTAGTGGAAGGTTATTATATCAAGTGGAGAGCGGTGCCAACAACGTCAGGTCAGAAACAGGCTGGAGCTAGTGGCACCGATAGCCACTGGGTGAATATCTCCAAACCAAATACTGATACTTACATTGTGACTGGCTTACGTCCTTTTAGAAATTACGAATTTTTTGTGATTCCATATCACAAAACTGTTCAGGGTATGCCGAGTAACTCATTGAATGGAGCTACTAGCGAAGCTTGTAAGTTTTACTTTATTATCTTGTTGTTATAAAGAATGTAGGAAGAGCAGAAGTGTTTTGCTCACTGACCAATTTTTAAATAAAACATTTTACAGAAAAGTATTGTTAATGATAAGAAATGAGGTTAGGTATAACCTAGAGAGATAATGTGAAATACCACTTTTGTTTAATTAATGTAATAAGTTTTTTGAAAGGGGACCATATCGCTATCAAAAGTTGCATTTAGTCGTGATTATTTAGTCGAAAAAAATAGAGAAGATGAGTTTGGAAAGTGGAGTTTTGGTACATAAAGTAAGTGCTATCTTTCATTATTATTTGAGGTTGGAAACATAGTCTTTGCATTTCCTTTTTAAGGATATTATCAGTTACTCAGTCCGACACTGAACTAAGAGACTTCTTTAATGAGTGATATCATACATGATAATTGCAGCACCTACTTCACCTCCAACAGATGTACGTGTTCGAATGATGAATTTAACGACGTTAAGAATTTCGTGGCGTCCACCACCTGCGGATGGAATAAATGGGATTCTAAAAGGTTTCCAGGTTAGTTCTAGATTTTTAATTTTTTATTAATAGTTCATTTTTTATTCCAGTTGGCATGACCCACTTTTTTGCTTTCAGATTATCGTGCTAGGTAGTGGTGCGAAATATAATCGAAACATTACAACAAATGAACGTGCAGCAAGCGTTACGTTATTTCATCTAATACCTGAAATGACCTATGGAGTTAAAGTTGCGGCACGAAATAACGCTGGTGTTGGAGTCTATCATGGACTTGAAGCTGTTACCATGAGTAAACTATTTAATCCTAGAAAAGGGCGAAGATTTTAATTTTGAATTAAGACATGTTGTTGAAATTTTGTTTTTTTATGCAGTAAGAAAAAACATAGCTATTGTTCAGATGAAGCAACACTGCGGGAACACATTCATTTAATGAGTGGAATTTCGTCTGGTGATCGTTTGCTACATATTATCAAAAGACCTTGGTTTATTGCTACAGCCGGCGTATTGATATGGATTACATTCATCGCCATCATCACTTTTATGTGGTGGAGATGGCGAAAATCGAAGGGCAAAGCTGCTGGTTTGTTTCCGTTGTTTTGAATTCTCTTTCCTCTATCCTCTACCTTTTATTATTAAGTGAAGTTTATATAACTTGTGATAGTTATTTTATTCAAATTTTCTATTACCCATTTCACATATTTAAACAGATTAAAAAATCCACACCCAATCCGGTTTTGGTCTTTCTGTCAGCTTTTAGGATGAGATTTACTTCGTGGTCGAACGAAGAATCAGGTAGCACCAATCATAAAATGCTATTCCCTAGTGGGAAATTTTTCGAATCGAGTTTATTTGATAAATGCACTAGATGAACTTTTGATTTTCAGCTCGATTAGGTATGCCGTTTATTAAAATTAATGATGGCAGTGTTCATCTGACAGCGCGAGATGCCTTATGGATGGATCATCCGAATTTTAATTCAGCACAACGTTCTCTTTTAAATAGCTCCATAAATGGTGCACATTGTAACGGACCGTCTATTTACACACAAACCCCGCATCAAACCGATTTTTATATGGATGGCCAGATATTACACCGCGATACGTCGGCACATATGCTGGGTACTATGGATCGAGCTCAGTCACCCAATCATTATCACTATGCTTCACTTACTGCTGGCGGTGCATCCAGTTTATCAACATTCTATGGTGGTCATCAAGTTTTGGTTAGTTATGGCGCAATTTATGTTACATATATACACTTTGTAGCAACTTCTTATACCCTATTTATAGAATCTTTATAAGGTTTCGATTGTTTCTTTGTTAGAGCAGCCAAGAAAACTGTAATTTGGAAAATTTTACTGGTAAGTTAGCCGTACCCACTCTTGGTGAAGTAAATTGGTTTATTAAAATACGATGATTCCTATTCCATTTTTTATATAAGAACTTAAATGATTTGTTATAGGACGATCCTTCTCCATATGCAACGACGACTCTGGTGATGGGCAACAGACAGAGATGGTTAAAAGACCATATGCTTCGGGCTCCGATGCCTCCTTCTAATCCGGTCCCTTCTGCTCCTCCACTAAGGTTCAAGGAGAGTGGAAAACATCATAATACATTGGGAGAGCGACGTTCTCCCTTTGTTGATAGCAAAATACGTTCTATTGGCCATCATCATTCGGGAAGTCCTCCACATACCGACGTTTCTTATGTGCAATCCTCTGATGGTACTGGAGGTACATTGTTTTCCAATGTTTACTTATGGATAAAATGAGCTTATACATCATTTAGATGTTGTCTTACGTTTGTAGGCATACATATGGCTTCTGCTGTGAATACTCCTCTCATTTTCACTGCCTAGTTCCGTATCATGATATGATGTTCAGATTATATTTTTTGCCAGAGAATGAATAAATGTTTGGAGATTAATGATGTAATAATGATTGTAGGAAGTTCGAATGGACGAAATAAAGGAGGTACTCTGAATGGAAAGAGAAGTCCACCAAAGCAGACATTGCTCGATATGATACCTCCACCTCCGCCAAATGCTCCTCCATCCGAAATTCAGAACGATACAGTATGCTCATTTTCAAATACTCTCGTATTGAACATAAAAATTGCTTACCTTGACATATTTGCTATATTTTTATCATTTTCACTGGCTTTTTTTACCAACTTTTATATTTTTTTATTGAAGCACTCAAAAGAAGTAATGGATTCACCTGCTAGTCATCTTATGGATGTTAGCGAACACAACGATGCTGTCTCCGATGCACTATTATTCGAGAATGATGCAAGGCACGTACACGAGAAGCCTAGTCTAGCAAATACTAGGCCAAGTAGTCGGAATAGGATAAGTAATATTTATCTTCTAGTCTCATTCCATTTTGATTTTATTGCTTCTGCAGAATCGTACATTTTACACTTTTTTTTGTATTGCTGCTTGTACAATCTCAGTTTCACTGATTTATTTGTGAAGGAATTTGAACGAATGTTTTTTCACGAAAATGAAAGAAACAAAACAAAGCGAATTTAAGATCATCGAAGTGGAGCAGTGGGTAGTTGCGGTGGAGGTCAAGAAGATGATGATAGTCAGAGGTCTTCACTGATGAACGATAATAATCGATCAGCATTTTGTTCGTCTTCAGAAGCTGATGAAGAGAATTCAGAAGACGATCGTATTCGAAGATCTTCGAGTCGTGTTGATCGTTCCCAAAGTCCAGAATATGCTGTCCATCGACCCTCACAACCGTGCATGGGTGTTAGTGCTTCGGCACTTACTCAAAGTTCATGTAATTTTCTTTGGTTTTTTTTTCAATGAGCGAATTAAATGTTATGCTGTTTTTTTCTGATAAAAGGAAAAGAAAATGGTTTTTTCCCGATCCATCTAAAGGTGCAAATAGTTCCTGAACACAGAGCGGATATCGGTGTTTCATGCTTTTATTAAGCACCACGATGTCGAGAGCAATTATGTGTTCGACTTCTTTAAGAGGAAGACAGTTTCAAACACTGACTCCGCTATTTGCTTAAAGAGAAAATTCATTGTATCGTCTTTCTCCGATTTTACTACTGTTCTTATCTGTTTCAGATGATGGATTATCAGGAGTGCGTTCTTCGAGCCGTTTGAAATCGATGTCTCGAAATTGTAAAAAAGATCTGGTCTAGCGACTTAATTATAATTGCCTCGGGTCATTTCTCAGTGTTCTCTTCACTTACTAAAACGGCGTAAAAACGTTTGATTATATGAACAGTATGGTTATTCACTCAAAAAGACCTATAGTGTGAGTAACAAGTGTGAAAAAGTAATTTCCACATGTTATGTTTTTGAGAACACTGATGAACTATTGTTTTCTTTTTCCGATCTCACTTATTTCCGATGCGATGTTTTCCTAGGTTCATTTTTTACAATGTTTATTATGTATATGTGGTGCTAATGGATATCGTTATTCGAGATGGAATGTATAAAATAAAGCGAGCAAAAACGATCATTCAATTCACCATATGTAAAAATTTCTTGATCATAGTCAGTCATTTATACTTTCTAATCCTGACTTTGAGATTGTTATAGTCT